AGAGATGCATCCAGCCTCCGTGGGATGGCCCACGCCGGAGTGAGTGGCAACAACTCCCTAAGAATCCGAGACTGTGGTAAAGCCCCCACTGGAGCAATCCGATGGGCAAGGATTGCATCCTGTGGGTAGGACTCATGCTTGGAGGTAGAGCCAGGAGGAAAAGGAAAGGAGGGTGGGGAGGAAAGTGGAAGGTGTCGGTTTTAAGATCTGGCTTTGTTTCTTTTTTATCCTCTCAAGTAACCGGTTTTGTTTCCCTTTGTCCTTTTAAGTAACTGTTAATAAATTGTTTTGCTTTAAGAAAGCCGAGTCTGTTTTGCCCGGGACCATGGTTGGTGGGTGCTCCCTCTGTTCTTGTCTAGACCCTCAGTCCCTTTATTATATTTTTCTCCTCTCCACTTTACTGGAGAAGGAGAGACTGTGTGAGTTTTAGTTGCTGGATCAGCCTAAAACCACGACTGTACCAAATCTCCCTCTCATCTCTTTGCACACCTCAAGGCTTCACAAAAGACAGTTCCACCCAAAATAAAACAAATTATTACTTTGTCAAACCGACTGCTTATTTTTTAAATCATTTGTAATAATCTCTCTCTCACAGGCAGGTGGCAATATACAACAAGGCCCCCGATTTTGTACCATTTAACCTCCAACTTCCAACCAGAGTCTCTTACCCTCCAGCAGAGTCAATATTTCTTATGCAATGTGACAGGATGCATCTTCCTGTAATATACAGCTGTGTTATCTTGAAATGACAATTAAATGCTTTGCTGCAAGACCTGTCCTCTTCCTACCCAAACGTGTTGTCAAAAGGCTTTCCCTTGATCTGCACATCAATGCATGACCTCCAAAACACTCTCAGTCACTGCAGTTCAGGCAGTGAAGGGATCTCCTTGAAAAGTTACCAAATGACACATTGCAAACAGCAAGTTTTGTTCAAAAGGGCTGTTTGGATTATGGCTATGGAGATGTCCAGAATTCAGGGTCATACACAACGCTGCTTCTATGGCTATGAGGGAAAGCTAATGCTTCTTTTTGTTTGTACTTAAACGGGGCCTACAGGAAAGCTGGAGACAGGCATTTTCCAAGGGCATGTAATGATAGGACAAGGGGCAATGGCTTTAAACTGAAAGAGGGAAGATTTAGATTAGATATAAGGAAGAAATTTTTTACTCAGAGGGTGGTGAGGCACTGGAACAGCTTGCCCAGAGAAGTTGTAGATGCCTCAACCCTGGAAGTGTTCAAGGTCAGGTTGGATGAGGCTTTGGGCAACCTGGTGTAGTGGAGGGTTTCCCCATGTACACCCCCCATGGCAGGGGGGTTGAAACTAGATGATCTTTGAGGCCCCTTCCAACCCAAACCATTCTATCATTCTATGATTCTATTCCTTTTTTTACTTCCCTAACGGTCTTAATAGACACTCTCATTTTAATAACATGGAACTAAAGTACCTGAAATTTCAGTACTAGTGCTTTCTGAATTCTTCAGCTTGATGATTTAACTGTTTTACACCATTCACATGTGACAATTGTAAATGCAAACAATTAAGAGTTACCACCTAAACAAATTGAAACTTATTCAGAAGAAAACACATTTTTGAAATGTAGGGTATATAGAGATATAAAACCAACAGGATTTAAGAAAATTTGCAATGACTTAGGAAAAAACGGACATGATGTGTTTCTGTGTCTTCTATGCAGCAGTCATTAAAGCATATTTAAAGGCGCTCACAGGTTTTTATCTACGTATTTCAACTGTACTATTTGAATTACTTCCTATATAGAGATATCCAAGGAGAAGGGAAGAAGTAACAATTCAAACAGTACGCTACACAGATTGGGAACGCAGGAGTTGCTTTAATGACTACTTTACACAGTGCACATTTCCAGAGTGGACAAGAATTAGCTTCAATCTTCTAACACGACACGTGCAAATTTATTGATCTCAACCATATTAAATTCAATAAAAATTATCTTCATTATTACAAGACCTTTTAAAAATAACCAAGGATGACAGCTTAACTGGAGTGATACATTTTGTAATATATCTACTCCTTAGAGAGTAAATAAAATCTAATAAATAAATAAACAAGTACACATGGTAACTGAATAAAAGATAATTATGTCTTGAATTATTAAACCCCTAACACATTCATATACAGAAATTTAATACTAATTTTGTAGGTCATCTTCCCTGCATTATGATAGAAATTTTCTGGTTTTACTGCAACTTTGTCAGAAGCTCTCTGAGATCTGTACCTCAGGAAGACTCATTTCTAATAAGAAATATAAAGCTTCAGATCAGGAATCTGAATCTTAATCTCAGTCTTGGCCATTTTCAGAATAAAGTCCCATATAACAGTCTGAGGGAAGAAAAATTGGTCACTTGAGCTAAACTGAAAGTATTAGCTTACTAAATAGAAAGCTAATAATGAAATGCATAACAGCACAAACCAAATTTTTCCTCCTATTACAACCTGTCAGTTGGATATGAAAAAAGCTGCCATCCAGCAAGTCTATGGCACTCCCATTACTTTTGGCATTCAGTTGCAAATGCACCAAGTAAATACCCATACGAAAGACACGTTACACTGTATTGTCTTAATATCACTTTCTCACCTGTGACTTTCTTGCATGCTCTTTGTATGACAGCTGATAACACTGAGTGGCACAGCAGCTATGCTATCTCTATGGCGAGAAAAGGAAACAACATAATGGTTTCCCACATAAAAATATAGCTGTTTCTGTGCTGCATGATTTAGGATTATTGTAGGATAATGCCAAAGCCTCTTGGAAAAATAGGGCTATGACCAGCTGACTCAGAAATGCTGGTCCGACCCAAACACACACACACACAAAACCTGGCTGAAATGTATTTTTCGATTTAAGTGACAAACGCTTTTGTGGTGCAAATTTGCAAGATAGTATTCTGAGTTGTCTGGACAAATGCATTGCTAAAAGAAAGAAAAATACACTGTTAAAATAAACTTTCTGCACATTACTACCATATTACATTACTTTGAGTAAGTTCTAACAGAATATCATGAAGAAACTTAACAGATGAGAACCTTATTTTCAAAACTCTACATCTCTGTCACACCAAATACCAAACACCTAGTTCCAGTAACTGATTCAGTAGGCTATTTAATAATAGCTAGAAGAAAAGTGGAAAAAGAACAATATTACAACCTGTCAATATTCCTCAGATATGCGACACAATGATGTGTCACGCCGCAGCACACAGAAACATACACACTCTCACAAAAACCATATAGTTGACCATATCCAGGGAAAACTTCATCAATTAATACTTTTATCTTGCCCTCGTGGAGGCCAAAGGAATCCACATTATTTTACAACCTCTGAGTGAGATGCCATCTTTTGTATTTCTGCCATAGTTGTACTACTACCGCTAAAGTCAAAAGTCAACTGACAGAAAGCTGATAAAATATATCCAACTGGAGACTGAATTTGTCACAACCATCAGGATCTTTCAAACTGGAAACTATTTTCACTTACAACTAAGAAGATCAGAAAACTAAGATTGATGAAAGAATTACAATGAATCTAGAAAATCACACAATTTTGTAATTGAAATCTACTCATGAAATTGAAAAACATCAAATAACACTTCATCATTAGATGCCAAAAAGCAGAAATATCACTTTCCTTAAAGTTTTGTTATTTATGATGTGGAATAGCATTCAAATGTTCTTATCTAGAGATGGCAGCACTAGGTCCAAAATTCTTCACCAGTGGTCTACTGATTTTTTTCCGTATTAATCAGCATCATTCACCTGGAACTGACTTTATCTGAAACATTTATGTTCCATTTAGATCTCTCAGCACTATCTCATGGAGGATCCAATTCAACGAAGTATGCTGTACTACACCAGAAACACTGTTCAGTGTTATTTTAAGAACTGGAAAAATCAAATTAATCTCAGAATATGTGGTTTACTCTTGTGCTTTAAGCCATCCAACCATAGAACAATCACAAGAGTGATGACATGTATTAAAATATTTAAAATTACCACTTCTCGCTGTTCTTCTCTAGGAGCCAACAGAACTGACAAAAATATACTTCCGAGATCATGATCAGGGTAATGAGGATCCTTCAGACTCAAGGTAACATCTGTTTGCCTACAAGACAAAAATATATGCATTTATTTTTATTTAAGGCTCTCTGATAATGAAATTTCTGAATCATAAGAAGTAAATGCATTAGCATTTATAGGAAATCACTTGAAAATGATATCACAAACTTACTCTATTTCTACTTTTAATTATTGCAGTCTAAACACTCCTAAATAAATAATAAATACTGTTACTCTGTGTTAAGTACTCATATGTATGGATAAAAAACAGAAAAAAAAAAAGATAAAACAGTAAGTGGTAATGCTGTGAAAGAAGATAATATAAAAACAAGATTAAAGTGGCTATAAAACTAACCTCTTTCTAGATACCGTAAAAAATGTTATGTATTATCAGTTAATATATTATTAATATTCACATTACAGCAATTTCCTAAGTATAAGTGTTTTTCCTCAGCTAGTTTTACATGATGTAGGTTTATAGAATTATTTTCTAGCATAATGTTGTACTTGCAATTGCACAAACATGATATTAGCAGATAATCACAAAGAATTACTCTATAGGCTTGTTTGTGCCATACCTGTTTAACTCCAATGAAGTGAGATCCAAAAATGCTGAACCAATAAAGTCATCTTGAAGTCCGAAGTCATAGTCAAAGACCTAAGATGCACAGTAGATAAAACCATTTTCCAGTATTAGAAATGTTTTTTTTGGTATTTTCTGGCTTTATGGATGGTTCTTGAAACTCCTTTTGCAGAGTTACAGCTTCATGTTTCTCACATGTTAAATCAGGACTGTCTGAAAGTAATCTGAAATTTTCTAGCCACAACACAAAGTTTGTAACTGCTTATGTAAAAGTCAGAATGCATCATATACAAGCAAGGGGGTATACTACTACTATACTGAATATGTAAACAACATCTACTTTATTAAAAAAAAAAAAAAAAAAAAAAGCAGCATTGAAGCATTTTTATAAACAGACTCTCAGAGAAGGAAGACCAAAAGAATTAAGTTAAGCAGAATCATTTATTTGCTATACATTGATACCTTAATCAATTTCGCAAAATACTAACAGGCAGATTATGGTTGTGAAAAGTGGGTTATTACACCACTTACATCAGTATTAGGAACAATATTATGGTATGTTTTGAAGGTTGTGTAAGTTTCTAGTGTTTAGAAATATTACAATCTAAGTTGAAAACTTAACAGATGTATGTAAGGAAATAGTGACATTTATTACTCTACTATGAGGATCCTGCCTGCTAACTTGCTACTTAAAAGAGGAAGCATCCGGAAAAATTTACTGACATCCAGACAGGAATCTGTGGCCAGTATGTGGAATGGTATCAATGATTTGAGATGGATAATGCTCTCTCAAGTCAGAAGAAAGAATAACAAATAAACTGAGGATAGCTTCTGTCAGGAAATAAACAAAAAAGGTGGATCGCAACAAAAACACTCTGACACAAAATTACAAAAAAAATAAAAAAAGGAAAATGTCAGTTATCAAAACCAACTTTCTAGGTAAGCTAAATTATCTTGGCAAATATCACCATGAGAATTTCTCAGGACCAGAATATACCTTCAGCTCTCAGTAAGAGTGAGACTTGTGAAGAGGCAGAAATGAGAACATTTAACTGAAGACGTGACAGGCCTAGGTTCAAGGTCTTCAATTTTGATGTAAATACTTCAACAAGTGTATCACATAAACTCTTTTCTAGGAGGCAGTTAAAACCGTTCATCTTCTACAAATACCATAATATGGACTGCATTAAGGCAGCAGTAACAAAAATCCCTTGGCCCAACAGCTACAGAACTGCTGTGGGACCCAAAGGGTTGAACACAGGGATTTGAGCACAGGTGTCTCATGTGCACTGATCTACCTGAGCATGTACCCTCATAGTTTCTCTAATATTCGTTCTAATGGGGAAAGAAAACAAATCATGAAATCTCAGTTCATGTTGCAAAGTAGAATTGTTTTCTACCCCTATAAATTATCAAGATGAAAACATCAGATAAATATTTTCAGCTTAGTACAATTAAATCATGTCTTAGAATATCTGAACAAGTTAAAAAACCTGAAATATTTCATACAGTGTGTTCGGAGTACAAATATGGATGGACATTTTACCATTTGACACACTCTTCCTAAGAAAAAAAAAAAAAATACAAACTTCTATTCCCTTGTGACCCTACTGCAGGGTTGGTATTTGGCATAAATAAGCCAAACCAGGTAGCTAAGTTGTAAGTGTCCTTCGAATCTGCTTCTCTCTTTCACAGTGCTGGGCGCATGTTCTTACCTTATGAGTCACTAAGCTTAGTGAGGGGAGGAAAATGCCAACTAATAACTATAAATGACTTTACACTTTTCTAATAATGAAGCACTTTATCTGAGCAGAATACACGAAACATACTACAGACTGATACTCGAAGGTCATTTAAGTGGCATACATCTACTAAAAAAATCTACAATTGGACATCTGAATTACGATTTTTGTCAGGTATTTCAGATTAAGACTGATACTGATCTGAAGCATTATATCATTTCAGAACACATAAAAGGATTATGTAGGTAAGACTTAGGTTTCCATACTTTATCAAAGTATTTTTGAACTATGCATGTTCTCATTAGAATCTTAAGAGTATAGTTTTTCCAATACCATTTCTAGAACTTATTTTTTATCTACTTTGTTTTATGTAATTAAGGATAACTTTTGGATATAGATAACCATAAACTATTGGGGCCAGAAAACCACCTTCCCACTGCATGCTTATATAAACAATGATCACAGCTTTTCTATTTTAATTCCAACATGGATAGCTAAGAAGTACTAGAGGTACTGCTGCTAATTACTCTGGGCATCACTGGCCTCTCTTTGATTTAAACTCAAGTTATCTGTTATTTCAAAATAAGTGATGCCTCTATTATGACAAAATCATCTTAATTTGTGACATATTAAGGAAAGTTACAATGTAAAAAAAAAAAAAGAGCATAAAGCGTTAAGAAACATATAAGCAAACCCACTATGTTCAGCTACAAATAGAAAAAAAACCCACAAAAACCTAGGAGAACTGGGCACACGTCTTGATAAACTCTCAAATTAATCTCAGCAAAAAATTGCTTTTAATGGGATAGACTATGCTTCATATCAGAATTATGCAATGATATTTCCATAAACAAAAGGGATGCCATCATCATGAAACACACTTTCTCTTTCCTTCTCTTAAGATCACACTAAAGAAGTAAAAAAGAATTATGATCTGAAATAAACAAAAATGCCCGTATTGACTTTTTTTTTCCCAAATGTTTACATCATCATTCCACAGATGCAATTTAAATAATTTTCATTTCTGAATAGTCTTTAATCATGCTTTATTGCACAATAAATTTTTCAATATACAAAACCTGAATTATTTCAACAACTCTTCTGTTGTAATTTGACAGACCTTAAGTAAGATAGTGTCTCACCTTTATATACAATGGTTCTCTTGGGTTATCTATAAGAATGCAAGCTTTTTCTTCCCACACAGGATTGAGGTTCTTGTGTATCGTTTTACTTCTAAATACTTCTTTTCCTCCAAGTTTGAACTTGACGTACGGATCACTAGTTCCTGTTAAAGACACATACATACTGTTAATTATGTCCCTTTAATACATTAAGAGAATGGAGACTTAAACAGAACTAAATGTGATTTCTACTGATAGCCAAATTGAAAACAGCAGCTAAGGAAATAATTTTTTTAATGTCGTAATTCATTATTTTCCACAGTGTCATTACTCAGGTAATTCACTGTGTTAACACCAAATGGCTGCTTCCACCACTTCCTGTTTTTTGCAATCCATGTTCAAAGTCATACATGGAATAGTGGCTATTGCAGGGTAGTTTTTAGTTAACAGAACTACATCCTTATTAGGACTAGGATTTTATCTTAATGCAATCACAAAAAATAAAGTTAAAATTATTTCTGTAAAATACTAATATAATAATCTTATGCTTTTGAAAAGGCACAGGCTCCACTGACACCACTAGCGTAACTCGTCATTGACTTTATTGTGTCCAGGCCTCTCTCTTCCATGAAGATGCACTTCCTACAACGCTTATGATGAGCAAATCAACTCTAACGTCGGTCCACAAAGTTCACATGCTTCCTGCAGCAACCACCTGCTTGCAGGAGAGCAGAGGTCTGAGCCCCCTGATGCAACTGAATACAGATTAACTATGGCCAGAAGGTCAACCCTGAAGGGAACTGAGAGAAATGTTAAACATGGCACGAATGGAGAATGGATGGGACGTGCGTGTGGAAGTGTCAGAAGGAACTGGTGGAAGGAGGACTCTTGGGGTGGCACATGTTGGGGGCACAGAGATGTGCAGTCATTCAGGAGCACATCTGTGTCCTCTCCTCAGGACATCCATGAGGGGAGACAAAGGGCAGTGAGCAAAAATGTGATGGAGCACACAGAGGGCTGACGAGACCGAGATACATCACTGCCAGCTACCAGAAGGTACCAAATGGCACACCCAACACCCATGCAGACATGGTCATCCCACGAGCAGGAGCCCTGGAGACGCGAGCAGGACCCATTGGCTGGTGTCCTTCCCTTCCCCATTGTGCACGACCCAGACCACACACTTGTGCTTGTGACTGTGAGTGTGCGGGTGTGAGGCTGTGAAAGCAAATGACCAGAATCAGTTTTGGTGTAAAACAAAGCCACTCTTCCCTGCCACAAGGTCTCACACCGAGAGTCACTACATGGCTGTTACCACACCGTGATGCCGCTTCCCACAACCTGACCTCAACTCCTGGTGCGTTGACAAAAGCTGATGTGTAGGAGAGCAACCCTGGGGGAAGGATAGGGGCAGAAGGGGCCAAACGCCTCTTCCACTCATGTCTGGCAGTACCACCATGGAGACCACTGGCTGAGCAGCAAGAGGCTGTCCCTGGACAAACACTGGAGAAGGAGCGAGCTGCTGCCATTGGAAGGAGCAACCACAGGGCTCGTTGATGCCCCTCTACCGCCTGCTCCCCTGCACTGGCACCGGCATTTCAGGAACCAGCCTGCAGACGGATCTGGGAGCTGGTCCAGCTGAGAAAGGCAGTGATTTTGCATCCAGATGGGCTCCAGGACACAGCTACATGACACAGAATTTGTGCCCATGACAGTCCTCTTGAAACCACTGCCTCCACGGTAGACTGAAGAAAGACTACTTAATTCTTCCTGGACATTGCAATTACAAAAAATACAGTTAAGTCTTTAAATAAAAGAAAAAAAGTTGGATATAAAATTTAAACTAATACCTTTCCTAAAATGCCAGTTGGTAAGATTTCACTCATGTAAGTGAAATTAATTTTCATGAAAAATACTGGATGAGGTTCAATTTCCTATTTCTCTGCCTCATTTTCACTTTTAATGCTTTTCATGAGACCTGCATCTTCTAGAGGTTTGTGTTTACATCCACTGGGAAATGCAGTGACTAGCTTTTGTTAAAATTGCAACATGCTCTTCTAAATATAAAAGCTGGTATGACCACAGCTATTTGCACTATTTCATGCAGCCACAGGATGTCAGTACTCTTTACTTAAAATCGTGTCCTTTTCAAAAAACTCTATGGGTGGGAAACTGTTCTCACATGCCATCGGGCTATGGTCCTTCCCTTCTGTGATTACTGGGGCAGAATTTCAGTGGCACATACTCTAGCACAATGAACTTGTTCCCTGGTTATTCAAGTAGTGGTGACGCTTTTTAATGCAAATGTCAGACATTTGAATTAATTCTGTGAAATATGAAGAATGCTTTAAACACAGACACCAACAACTCAACAACAGTAATAGAAGCCATAACTGCCCCACGAGTTGTAATTCTCCCACTGATTTTCCTCCCTGTTGGCTTGAAGCACAGACAGCTGGCCTTTAAGCACCACCTTTTATTGTGCAGACTTCATAAATCTCAAAAACTCTTTTGAATTTTGAAATTGATGTAAAACACTCTTGTGAGATACATACCAAATGAATACTTTAGGATCCAGATGTCAAATAATTTAATACAAACTCGTTTCTATCTGTCAAATTTAGGAGTAGGGTAGGTCAAATGTTAGTTCCATTTACAATATACTGCAAAACCTCAGGGTTTGTATCGCTGTGCTACGAATGCTGAGAACCACTGAGAAGCTGGCTTCGATACATCTCTAATTCAAAGCTGAGAACTCATTAGGTGCACTTAGTCAAAAGCTCCATGGCCTTCACAGACGTTTTCCGTTCCTTGAAGAACGACCATCGAATTTTTAAAAGCACATATATAAAGACGGGTAAGACAAAAAAATTAATCTAATCAGCCATGCAATCATTCAGTAACACCTTCACCTAAAGGGAGTGCAAAGGGAGGAGCAGAACAGAGACCAAAATTTGATCCTCTCTGTTCTGCTGAACTGCATCAAGCCACCTCCAGCACTGCTCGGTATCACAGGGTCCCAGTTTTAATATATATTACAATAACAACAATTCTAACACATATTATATAATACAGTAATTGTGCAATCACATTAATATGACACTATTAATAACACATCAAGCATATGTTAATACAGTATTTCAATGTATTACGTAATAATATGCTAATCAACATCAACGATTCAATTCACATATTTTTGCTCTTTTAAAGAGAAAAATAACTTACGTTTTCTTGGGATCTTACTGTTAACAGTGATTACAAGTTCATTACACAAATCTAGAAAAAAAATCAAAGACCCCTCAGACTGAGCTTGCAGGAACCTGGTGTCTGTCACGGATTCTTGTTATTCACGTCTCAGACTTTTCTTCGGTTTCCTGCTCACCAAACCATTCAAATGAACCTGACACACTAAGGCCTGATTGCACAAACATTTGTCCTATCTGTAGCAGTTAAGAACATCATCACGAGCCTTCACTCATGAGCTTAAAATTGTTTCCCATAAAAACCCAAATCGTGAGACACTGCTCTCCAGATGAAACACCGCCTTTGCCTGTGTGAAGGCAATAAGGACTCCTTGCACAGGGTGGCAGCCTCTCTTTTCCCAGGAAGCATCAGCCTAAAAGACACGTAAAGATGCTGCCAAAGTCAAGGAGAGAAGCTCTCCATCGCTGCAGCCGCTGCTACCTGACCCGGTGAAGCAAGCACTCCTCCAGTCCTGCGGGTCCAACTTGGGCACTAACTCAAGGGTCCAACACTTCTCTCTCTCTGTGCAGACATCTCCTAAAACGGATTTTGCTTTACAGATTTAGTACGTAGATTAGATCTCATAAGCAGGCATAAAAGAAGCTTAAAAAACACTTTGCTGGAGAAATATTCAAGACGTTTGTGAAAGAGTAATGGAGTGGAAATACAGAAAAGGCAAATTTGGCCAGGATAATAATCAAAGTTGTATTGCATAGCAAGAACTTGTATTCCCAATAAATTGTATATGTTTACTTAATTGGTTCCTGAGGCTTCGTAACAGGCTTTTTAACATTATTACACCACTTGTTGAACAGAATTTTTTTCCTTAATAAAATCCTATTTAATATAAAGTTATAAATTGCTAACCAAACAAAATTCAGCAGGGAACACAGGGCGAATGTAATCATGAGACCGAGTAATGAGCTTGAGACTGCTCCCCCACAACTGATGCTAGTGAGATAAAAAGGATGAAGCAAAAGTCTCCATGTTCCTCTACAGTATTTTTGCACTTCACTAAGCGTGAACGAAGCCAAAATATCAGCATATCTAAAAAAATCTCAGTTGAAGCCCTACCTATAGTATATGGTAGTCAGACACTGAAATCCTTCAAGCAAGTTTTAAAATTTACACTAAAGAGAGAGAATGCAAGCTAGAAAATACCCATCATGACATAGATCAACAATGCTAAAAAACAGCACGTTCAGCTGTCACTTCAGGTAGAGATGTTTTTATACTTCATATAACAAGAAGAAAGAAATTACATTTTAGAAAAATGGTGAGTTAGCAAGTACATTTATTACACAAGCTAATTAGCTGATTTAATTAAAACTGTTTAACTATAGCATGGTTAACTGCATTCACTTTTCCACCGCTATTCACTCATGTTTTAACTTTTAAAACAGAACACGCAAGACCATTCTGAAAAACAAGAGTGACTGTGCCATAAAAGCTTTTGCATAGTTCAGATGCTCATTACTGTGCAATTCAAATTATTGTTTCAATTATTTTTAAAAGTTAAAAAATTAACCATCTCCTGAGGAACATCTGGTTTTCAGCTTATGGAGAAGAAGATTTTAGAAAGGAAAACATAGCAAATCAGAGAAACTTTATTAAGGTCTTCCCTGTAGGTAGTTATCACTGCTACAAGATGGACCACTCAGACACAGGATCTTTTTTTTTTTTTACCTACAGAGGTACCAAGGCTAAGTGGTAATGTTACAAAGGCTGCAGCCTGTCCCGTTCCTAATGTAAATCACAAATCTCCTGTGGATTCACCACACATACACAATAAACAACACACTTAGACCAATTTCAGCCTAGTGGTTTGAAAAAATAGAAGCTTCAAACAGTATGAACTGGAAATTAAACATTAACAGTAATTTAATAGGATTTGCTGCTGTATGGGATATAGGAGAAACCCT